ATAGAGTTCCACGTAACTTTCTGGTTCATTTGTTGTAATCATTCTTTGTAAGGTTATCACAAAAAAAATCATCATTTTCATTAAATGAATACGAATATAAATCTTATTTGCTCAGTATGCAACACAAGGCAATAGCTGAATTTGTCAATCAACACCAACAAGTTTCGCATTACACTTGAATATACAAAAAGAACATTATTTTTCATTTGACGAGACCATATTTGGCTTGAATAATTTCAAGGTACGTGAAATAATCAATTGGAGAACAATCATCAAAACTACTATTGAAATGGATGATGTGAATTTTCATGTAAAGAACGCCCTGGTTCACAGCATAATTATGCTTACATCCAGTATAGAATGGTATTGTTTAATGTAAGCCAAATACTGGATATGCTATATGATAGTCAGTCATCATACTTTGCACAATCATGGATCTAACTTTGATTGTAGTGTGAAACAATATTCGTCTGTAGGGTTCTTATCTTGTAAATGCGAAAATATAAAAAAATCTCGAAGTCTTATTGAAATACATGTAGGGATCAGTATAACATGCACTAGATGCGATTTGATTGTACGTTGTAGATTATCTCCATTGAGTTTTGATTAATTATATTTGCTTTCATCATAATTGCTGTTGAGAAGCTTGAATGCAGATAATGTTCTGGTATAGTATTGCCAATCATATATTTATTTGAGAGGCTGATCTAGTACAATAATTTGAATGATAGCAAAAGATGATTTATGAAATTTGAAGAGTCACTCGTTGATTTTTGTTTGTACACACTGATAGGTAGATGAAATAGTACAATAGTGAAAACGAAAAGATCTGTTCGACTCAATGGTCGATGTAAAATATTGGATAATTACTGTCGAAACGAGCCAAAGCTTCATCGATCATATAGTTGATTTTGAAAACATCGTGATTTTTGTTTTTGTCAAAAGTTGATAGATACTTTTTGAAAACAGTAAGCAAAACTTGTATCTTATTTAAAATAGTCGAATTTCTTCACATAATCTTTTGTAAATAGTAGTAACGATCGTAGCTTTTTGGAATGGGTAATCTGTAGATTGAACTTCTTTTTGTACAACAATGAAGAAGTTTTAAGAATCACTTCACTTAAGTCACGACTCATTTTAATCAATTACAGTGCCTAAACTTTCTCTTAGGTCATACATGCGTCCTTAACTCGTGAGTGTTTGAAAATATAGCTTAGTTTCATCGATATTTTCAAAGAAAATCTATTAAAAGGATGACTTTTCTATTATAAGCCACTGAAGATTATTTGAAATCTCGATGAAAAATCGTTCAAAAGGTACTAATATCTTGACAAGTAAATTTTCAACGAACCATAACAATTCGCTCTCAATCTAAAATCAAATTCTCCATAAAATAGAGAAGATTTTGCTCCAGTCAAAGACATTCATTAATCTCATGAGTATTAGCGATAGTCTGGGACTTCTTACGGAAAATGAATTAAGGAAAAATGAGCCGATCAGAAGCAAATTTTGTGATGCATCAGGTTTCTTCGACAAAACTTGTATAATAGGTTTTTGTGGGCATATTAGTGGTATAATAAGACTGTCACATAAACCATAGATGCCTTTCAAAATTGTTTAAAAAATATCAATCAGATAAAGCAGTTTATGAACATACATTAGTCGATTTCAGTATACATCATGAATGCGAATCTCAAATTTCCACAAATACACCGTCAGTTAGAATGTTAAAGGCGTTCACATGATGACAATACCGACATTGATAGATAGCCAGAAGAGACCAGTGGCTTTATTTACGCCCATGAGCACAGGCATACACTTGAACAGCCAGATCCCACTATCCACGTATCGCAATGAGTTCCATTTCTTTTTCTGAAGTCGTAATAATTGAATATGCTTCACAAATAGTCATTTCCGCCTCCCAATCGTTACAGTAACTATCGAACAACCGTTTCTCTTCAGTGCTCTTAACAACTAATTCCCAAACTTGCATTGATACTTTGTCGTTGATGAGTAAACGCAAAACCTCACGAAACGACACAGTATATTACCACTTACACCGTTCATTAATATATAGCCGCATATGGATAAAATTCTAACTCTAGATTTATTCTGTGCCCACAAATCCTTTGTTCTTTTATTGAGAACAGTCACACGAGATGAATACTCAAAACAGCACATCCAGCATATTATGACAGATTCCGATACCAAAAATGTTAACTACTTCAGATTTATTCATATGACTTCATTTAAACATTCTCTGATAACATCTAAATAGCCAACAAAGATTTTATCTTAACGAACAAAATCATTTAGTCAAAAACGCACAAAGCCAATAATCTTGAAAATCCTTACAACATAAAAAGGGGGTTACCAAAAGAAACTTCATCCGTGAATCATCAGCTAAAAAAACAAGTAATAGGCATATTATTACAAACAGCAGTAGAATGACTGCTAACGAAAGCCAACTGAAAATGACAATCTATTAAATTTACGTAACTCTTAACCAATCGTCACACTTGAAATCTAAAAAGATCGATGGTTTTTCGATTCATCCAAAAAAAATATATTATAACAGCTGCATTGTGACGACACCCTCTGTTTCCTCTTTTTACCTAACACGACACGAACTGGAACAATCGAACAGAACATCAACCACTATTCCTGAACAAACCGTTAACTTATCCAACAGCATAATACTAAAACACATTGCTGTACACTCAGGCTCATCAAAAACCCATTGCTGTGAATTTCTAGTCATGGAATTAACCTTCCTGCAAGTATGAGTTTGAGAGCAGTCAGGGCAACTTCGCCCCCTGTTCCTCCCCCACCAGATGACTTTGCCCTCACACCTCCACGAGGGAGCCAGTCTTTCCTAATGACACCTTTCCTGAGCGGTTTCCTCCGCACGTTAACTCGCTTCCGTGAGGGATTCGTCCCCACAAATGGATCCATTTGTATACACGTCGTATTATGTTTTATCCTCACAGTTATACAGATTATTGTTAAGAATTGACCTTTTCATTATAGTAAACTTTCACTTTTCTTATTTCGTTTTAGAAAGTCACACGCCATTGTTTCTTCATGTAGTTCTTTACATTATCCTGGCACAAACAACCAGCATTATCACCTCTCTTGCTCATTTCGAAGCAAAGGTTGCGGCTAGATTGCCTCCTCCAAGATCACATGGCAAAACAACATTACTTAGAAGACTTCTGTTTACCTCTGTTGCTCACTTAGAAGCAAAGATTGCGACTAGCTCAGCTCGTCGAAGATCACATGACGAAGGATGTATAACAAATTTGTGATAGCATGAACGATATGATAGTCAGTCTGGAATTAATGTGTAGGTCCATCAAAATCTCAGGGCGCACTGAAGTGTTCTTCTTTGTTTGTCACGAGGGTATCAAAGACTTTTACAACTCATTACGTAGAATCTGTTAGAGAATGATCTAAAAGCTATTTCCAAGAAAAAAAACTATCTTCTTTCAAGAGAAACATTTTCGAAAGAACTTTGTCCGGTGTTACTGATATGAAGCCAATTTTAAAAAGGCATAATCAGATTAGTGATTCGCTTCGCAATCGACGAGAGCTCATGTAAAAACGAAAACATAGAGAGCCAACGAGAATGGTCGTTAAAATTCGCTGCAACAAACTCTTGATTATTGCTGTTACGAATCGGTTTAAAAGAAAATCCTCTATTTTTGATATTACACTCTTTTCGGTAAGCGAACTGGCTTTAAAAATCGGTTCTATGCGCCTAACCTTTCTCAGCAAATAGTTTTTCAGAAGGGAAATTCGAAATTGCTTTTTTAGCATGAGATCCATAATAACATAGTAAGATTCTTTTGGTACTCTGGCTCAGTTAATTGATAAGACTCTTTTGGATAAAAAATTACTAAAACATTATCTCTAGCTCTATATCGTCCTGCACACACTAGTAACGTAGATGATCTTGCTTCTGCTCGGCGCTAAAAGCCGTAGGGAGGAATTTCAAGTAATATTACTGGACATATACCCGTTCTCGATAAGATCGATAATTTGAATCTAACAAAAGAATTTTCGTATCTTTCTTATGAAAGTGTATTAAGACTACTATGACTACTTCGCAAGCTTTTCACATTCAGAAGTGAGTTAATAATATTTTTATTGGACAAGTTCATCGATTCCTCTGTTAGTTTGAAAAACGAATCATGTTTTCGTCTTTGATTGAAGAAAAAGATCAAATAATTAACAGGATGAATTGACGCATCTAGCTTACTCTACTTCGAATAGTTTTGAAAATGAGAAGCGAAGAGTTTTTGAGGTGGACTCAACCCATCTCTTATTTATGCCAATACTTACGGCACGATCATAAAATAAAAGGCTGCTCTTAACCTCGTTTCTGTCCAAGATGTACAGAAGAACATTCGCTTGAACATGATTGTCCAAATTTTGACAGGTGTATTAATTGTAGTGGTGATCACACATCTGCTCATTCGGTGTGTCCAATAGTCCGAGAAAAAGGTCGTGCTCTAATGGAACAATCAAAGAAACGAAGAGCAGAATCACTTGTGCTTGCGGAATGACAACCGTATCAATGTGATTTTCAAGAATATGATTTTTCAACATTAAGAA